TTGCCTTCTTGAAACCTTAAATTTGTCTTTCGACAGACAAATTTAAGGTTTCAAGAAGGCAAAGACCTAAAAGAACGGTGATTTTTACCAATCATGAGTTTGTGTAAATTTTAAATCTGATGATGGCGCTGTTGTCTCGCCGAAACGTAATGAAATAAACGATGTTTCAAAATTTTTACTTCACACTTTGACTGAAACCCAGGAAAGATAGGAATATCATAAGCCTGTAAAATTATGAAATTTGAAGACATTTTAAAAATATTATTAATAAATGGCCCTTAAAATAAATCTAAAAACGAGGAAAAAGTCATCAACATTTTCCCAGCAACGGAGGTGAGTTACTGCGCTGATGCGAAGGGTTGGCGCACCAAGCCATTTGCACTGCGCCAACTCCTAAAAATTCACTGAGTTGCCCAGGCCTAGATTCCTGACCTTCCGTTCAAATCTGCAGTGAACATAATTATTTCGATAATGTTCATCGCGGAAGTGATCGAAACGTTAGGAAGCAGTTCTGGTTCGCGACTTACAAGCGGGGAAACCTTTCAGCGGACACTTTGTCCGGCCGTGAAAACCTTCTTAGGCTTGAGATTGTTTCAATTTAACATGCATTTAGTGTGTAACAGATGTAGAAGTAAACGGAAAAAGCAAAGCAAGGTTGTCGAAGGTATTAAGTTTGTTAATTGTTATGGATTGCGGAATTGCTTTTTATGCTCAACGACCAGTTTTGCCGGCAAAAAAGGCAATTTTTCCTAGTCGCTTACAGTTTCTGAAATTAGTTATTTTGCAAAACCTTCACTCATAGAATATTTGCATCTAATAAAGCAGGAAAAAAGTGTCGATTTCTGAATGTTGAACGTCTGAAGCCTCAGTTCAAGAACTGTCCTTACCATATTGCAATTTACTCAATGGCACCCATGGGCTCCAAGTGAGAATCTTCCAGATAAACTTGGCATGTCCATAACTTGCCACATAGATCAACCCAATGCTGCCAATCGACCATAACGCCCTGTGAAATCCTGCATACGTTGCAGCTTCATACGGGTTATAGGGATGATAGGGATCGTAAAATACCGACCCCGTTAATACTGAGGCTGCAATCGAGGCGAGCGAAAAAAACACAATAAGTGCCGATTTTATCTGGAAAAAATCAGAAAGTTGCACCGTTGTAGAAGAAAAATCATCTGAACCCAACCACCTTTACTTACTCTGCAGACGTGGTAGTTCTTGCCCTTCATCCTATAATACAAATATCCTCCAAACATTCCTATGAAATAGGGCGTGGCCCGTGCATGCGATTTGCTGTAGGTTAGCAGGAAATCGGCATGCGACTTTGGGGCAGTTAGAAAGTCCGTGTAGAACATGAGCATGGAAGGGCGTCGATAAACCACAGTTAAAATGAACGGAATCGCCTCGAAAGGACAAAGAAAATTAACACGAACTGGGGTGGAAAAGCCTGTTTATTTACCATTGAAACTATTGTTGCCGACAGCAGTGCGCTAAGGCCGATTTTCTTCTCTTTTTTGATCAGAATGCAGATGCCCACAGCAATGATGAAGTAGTGGAAGTCGCAAGGTAGATACCAGGCATGGGTCATACACTGAAAGCGAGAAATTTGGGGCTCAAACATTGTTGAAATTAAGTGGGCCGCGTTCAAATCTATTAATTCTAGGTGGTTCAATTGGATGGAGTTACATAAATTTATGAGATAATCGCGATTTTACGAATACGTGATTAAAGTGGGTCAACAGTTTCGTTTTCAAGACAAGACGCACTTAATTCCAAACGGTACCGGTTATGGATAGCGGCAAAAGCCCGCTACGTTCTCATTTAGACTGGGAAAGTTTTGACCTCACATCAGATGAAAATATAGAGTAAAAGTGGATTTTTGGGCAAAAAAATCTAATCAAATGCCTCGTTCGGCTGTTTTTCCAAAAGGACTTGAATACAAGGGCGGACCCAGGGGGGG